ACCTGAGTTGAGCCCGGGCCCGCGTCCCGCTAATAGAAAAGCCCGGGCCCGCGTCCCGCTATAGTGCATTGATTTCAGTGTCATTTGTGCAAGTGCGTAACCATAGCAATATGGGCGTCATTCCTAGCTAAAATCGACGTTCCGGACACGTCGGCGCTGCCCGTTTCGTCATCCGGAGTCGTCCAGACAAGTTTGCCGACGGTCGGGCAAAAAAATTGTGTCAACTTTCGTTCCGGACACGTCGGCGCTGCCCGTTTCGTCATCTGGAGTCGTCCAGACAAGTTTGCCGACGGTCGGACAAAAAAATTGTGTCAACTTCGTGCGTGATATAGCGAGTGCGTTGTTGAGTCACGGAAGGTTCACTTAAGGCCGTCTGATCCTGTAGGAACTCATTTTCAGGCCTTCTATATGTTGGTCCTTAGCCCTTGCAACTAGAAATTGAGTGCTTGGAACCACTCATGCGAGTTCTTCACAATAATGAGTCAAGAAGTGGCTCGAAGCTCTGCTTGAGGTGGGCTCCATTGCTAGTCTGCTAGGATAGTCAATAAGAACTCCTAAGGCTAGATTTTGGGTTCTGGGAGTAAGAACTAATACCTCACTAAAAATGATGTGAACATATATACAAGTTAACCTGAGTTTTTTTATTGTAAACCATACTTTATTTAAACCTAGGATTAATAATTTTATATCGGCGCAACCAACATTGCGAAGTATTTTTCTCTTTTATGGGAGAACACCCTTCACTTGGGCTGAATTTTAAACTAAAATATAGCATTTTTTTGTTTAATATTATTAACGGGGAATGATTGTGAGAATAGAGGTACCCCTTTTGGATGTCTTGACTTTATCCCCCCTAGCACAAATAGACTCAATCCTACCAATGTCAGATGGATTTGAACTCTAATGTTCAGGGCTTGATTAATAACCATAAGTTGCCTCCTCTTAGGTATCTCAAGCAAACAGGGTCGATATATATGTGTCAGGGATGTGCTTGCAAGTGAGATCAACCTAATCATGAGCAGAGGGCAAGTCGTCTAATTTGCATTAAATAATTCAGTCATGTAGTACAGTCACTTGTAGTTAAGAGGTACTGCACATGACGGACAAGAGCTCGTTGGCATGGCACGACCAAGAGCTCGTTGGCATGGCACGACCAGTGATTAGCAATGAGTTGTTGTTTAGTTAGAACTTAGAAGAAGCATGTATTAGACATACATGAAGGTTTTTGTTGGTGAGTTCAGTCTAATTATTTAACTCTTATTAACATGAGATCTTTCCCCCTTTTTGTTTTTGCTGAGGCTTATATTTGTATGGAGGCTTGAGGATTCATTTGCTTTGGCGGCCTTTTGTTAGCACGAGAATTTGCCAAAGTTTAGTTCTGTTTGGGTTTACATCCATCAGAAGGCCCATGAATTACTTATTTTGAGGGTTATGTTTGCCAGCCGTTAGAAGGTGTTTATGCGGGTCTTGCAACCTCAAGGATAAAGAGGAGCTAATGATGGGCCTTGCGACCTTATTTATTTATGTGAGGTGGCCAATTGGATAGATTAGTTTGTTTGGATTCTTAACTCAAGAAGCAAAGCTTACAACTTTTAGGTTAAAGGAAGCCCATTAATGCATCTTTACTTGAACTATCATTATAAACTTTAATAGGAGTATTGAGATTTTCAACCCCTATTTGTTTGAAAGGCTTCCAAGTTTTATTAGTCTAGATTCATGGCGAGCCCTCCTTAGGTCTTCTTTTTTCGTCTTTAAAATTACCTGCAAGGCTTGGTTTTATGATCCGTACTTTAGGCAAGCTGATTCACATGATGTTATCACAACCTCTCCAATAAGAAAAGAGGCTCAAATGATTACATATTTTGCAATAACTCAAAGAGGCTAATGAGTGGTGGCGGAGGTAAACATTCAATTAAGGCAATCATGAGTAGCATAGGCCAGCAACAAGGGTAATCATTATAGGAACAAAGGAGATCTCAGAAGATAGAGAAAATAAGCTAAACTTATTTTTTCTGCATTCAATCCCTGAAAAGTAAGGTAACATCACCAAACTTAATATTTGACAAATTGGGCTGTTTTGTTGGGCTTATAAGGCTTTAGTTGGCTTAAGCTTAACTTAATCCCAATCAATAGTCCCTTAAGGTTAGTCGTTCTCACCTTTACCACCAAGTCATCACAATTCTTTTGCACAAAGAAGAGGCTTCCTGCTGATGTGTCTCTATAAATAAATCATAAGTCTTAATTTTTAATTCCTTATACTCATCTTGATTTTACAAATTTCTTTTTTAAATGTAGAAAATTAAGAGATGAGGTACCTTGACTTATAAATCTCATGTGTGATTTTTAGTATCCTAGAGCCAGAATCTTGTAGTTATTAATCTAAATTAGGGGTTTAATTGGGTTGTTTGACCTCAAGTTTCTCTCAGCTGGATCTTGAGGCGACCTTGTTAATGCAGCTAGAGCTCGATCTGAGTTCAAGGCAAAAGATGAAATGGCTTGTCGTCTTTTGAAAGATGGAAGATGGAGCAAATTCTATATGTTAATGCTATGTATTCATGGAAATAATGATGGGAGAGAGATTTCTACATAACTTTTATATTAAAGATTTTGATTTGTGATATTTATTGAAAGGTTACTATTTTATTGTTTTTAAATATGCCGGTTCATAATATGACGAGTTAAAGCTAATCGTAGTTTATATAACTGGTTTGTGAAGCTTATCTGACTACCTGTTTATAAATCAGAGCTTGCTCATTAACCGACTATTACTTCCTTATTTTAAATTTTCAAATATATAGAAAAAGGAAAAACCCTTCCTTTTTAGTATTATTATCTTTAAAGTAGAACAAAACTTAGGAAACTAATTAATGTCATCTTTCTTTGCTTCATACTTTTCATCTCCTGGTAAAGAAATAAAATCCATTTTCAAATATCATGAAAAAGGAAAAAATTATCTTTAAAGCCCCATCCCAATTATTGCACTTTTTAACAACCCCTAGAGTCATTACTATAATTTTTCGGATAAAATAGGTCTCTTAATACATAAATAAAAAATTATATGGGCAATTACATACATATCACTCAAAACATTGCTATTTACAAATCTAGCTCCGTCTTTCATCCATCTTTTATATTCTCACTAAAAAATCAAAATTCACTATAAAACCCCAGCCCATACTTTTCATTTTTATTAAATTCTCGATCATTTTGATAGGTTCTAATTTTATAAATAGCTACATTTCGAGTGCTATGTATGTATTATCCCTTACTTGGGGCAAATTTTTCATGCAAGGAATGAGAAAATAACTAATTTGTTCTGTTTTGCGAGTTTCTATAAGAAATTATCTTCATGCTCTTCCAATATTAAATGCTTGTATTCCTAGATTTTCTCTCATAACATATTTTTTCTGGCTGGTCTGGATCAGGTTTTGTTTGAAGCAAAGCAATGGAACAATCTCGTTGAGCAATTTAAGCAGGAATTTTATAAATTGTTTGGCATGACCGTTGAGCCATTGCTGAACATATATCTGCAGGCAGGCTTGTCTGCTCTAAAGACCCCGTATCCTTGTAGACCAACCAATACTTACATTTTCAGCTCTTTTATTTATTATTTATAAGCACTGCAAAAAGACTCATAAAACATAGATTTCATGAAATGAGCAAAGTGCAAAATTTCTCCCTTATGCTTATTGTTTCCCGTATCTCCATCCTCAACCACACTGCTAAGATTCTGCTACGAGGAAGGCTGCCCTAAGGAAGACCCGCTCTCGCAGGATAGCTTCCGAAAACTTGCGGAACCGCTGCCATTCTCAAAGCAACACCATTCTAAACTTGTCTGCTACATAACTAGAGAAGTCATGGATTCGGAGAACCCGCCCCTCGTACTGCCAAATGGCTATGTCTACAGCACAAAGGTCCATAAAAAACTCTTAAATATCCTATTACTTCTTCAAAAAAGTTAAAAAATGAGTAAAGTGTCAAAACAGTCTCCGATTATTTATATGGACAATTTTAGTCTCAAAGGTTATAGAAGTGTCGAATTAGTCCGAGATTTTTTAAATTGGTGCTGAAATAGTCTCCATAGAAAACAATTATAGCTCAATTTTAAATTCATTCAGGATTATTTTGACACTTTTAAAACTCTGGACTAAAACGGCGCCATATAAATGAGCGGGGACTATTTGGCACTTTACTTGAGAAACAATATTAAAAAAAGGGGCATTTAATGCATACCTCCCAATTTCTATGTATTTTCATATATAACACCAAAACTTTATTTTTTACGTTTTTATCATGCAAGTCTTTCATATCACATAAAAATATCACTATTTTAACTCTAAAAGGGTGAGATGCACCTTTTCATCCATAGGTATTGGTAGTTTATATGGATAATTGAAGTTTAGGTGTAAGGTATGTAAATATAATGTAAATCTTCCAATTAAAATTTCACTATTTTTGTTTATCTCATTGCAGGCGCTTGAAGAAATGGCGAAGAAGAACAATGGCAGCATTACATGCCCGAGGACCGGCTATGTGTGCAGTTACACTGAGCTTGTGAAGGCTTACATATCTTAAAAGGGGTTGATACTCGCTCATCTTCCGTTCAGGAGGATTGATTGCTGTACAGAACATGCGATGTAAGAATAGTTTATGGCCCTCTGCCTCTTTGATTTCTGTTGCAGCTTACGTAAAATGTTGGGTTGATTTAATGTTTTAATGATAAAATGCCACTGAATTTAGCTGCCCCATCACGTTATAGTTCATCTATATATATATATATGTAGAGAGAGAGAGAGAGAGAGAGAGAGAGAGAATTTGCATACATACTTCCTTACCTTAGCATGAAAAGGTGTATTTCACTACGAGAGAGAGAGAGAGAGAGAGAGAATTTGCATACATGCTACCTTACCTTTGCATGAAAAGATGTATTTCACTACTTAAAAAGTAAAAAAAAAAAGGTGATAATTGATATTTGTAATGTGATATGAAAGATTTAGGTGTTATAATGTAAAAGGTAAAGTTCATGTGTTGGATATGTAAATACATAAAAATTGGGTGGTAGTGGAGTTAATCTTAATGAGAGTTTTATCTCTTACATTAATGGATTGAATGCTGTGGATTCACAAGTCATTCGAATTTGATTTGAAACTCTGGTAATTATGCATTGAACTAGGGTTGGACTAAGGTTCGAATAGACGACATGGGAGAAGGAGAGGGTTTGATGCCTTTGTGTGAGATATTGGAGGCAAGGAGGATTTATGTATTTGTGAACATCAAAATAATGTAATACAAGTGTGGACAAATGGGGTAAACAATCCCTCTTTTTTGCATGATAACAAGTATATGTTGGCTATTCATATAAGTTTTGGGTTGGAGAACCTCGCTTGAATCTTATGCATGTTAATTTTTTTATTTCATAGATGATAAATGTTAAAGCATATATATGTTACTAAAATCAATGTATTTAGGTTCAAATAATAGACAAAATAATAGGAGGTATATATACATAAAACATCCAAAGAATTATAATGATTATATTTCTAAAAAGTTTAAAATTTAAGAAACTAAGAAAATACACAAATATAAAATATACACAAACTACTAACCATAACTAAAAGAAATCAAACAAATAACTTCCCCTTTAGATATTTAAAAAAGAATGGATGTACATACAAGTACAAAAGTAAATATTAATAAAATATAAATAAAAAAGGATAAACATCCTCTAAAGTTCGGAAGGCCTTTATTAGGACATGGAGAATGATATGGCTAGTCTTCAATTCAAATTAGCTAATTGTGAAATCAAGGTCTGTTATTTTAATTTTGTTGATGCTATCATTGTCATTACTCGTTCTCTGATGCAATGTGATCATCAGTTTTGATCACTAGATAAGAGAGTTGGTTACTTTCAGCATCTTAGGGGCTTTATGTGATAGATGGGCAAGTGGAACTTGAGATGCTGGTGGTGTAGGTGTGGTTATTTCTTCTAATTCTTCTTTTTTGTCTTTTTCTTCTTCATCCCTGTCATCAATGTAATGGCAAACTTCTGGTCGCTGAAAAGAATATGAAAGGATTGATCAATGAATGAACTTTGGATACATCCATGTTGGTTTTGATAACTCATATTGTATTTTACTACAAAAATGCATAATATCATGCAACACTGTCTTCGTTATGACTTTTCTTGTCTTTAAGATAGTGGGTAAAAGTAAAATTTTTAATTTATTGAATAGACATATCTATAATATTGAATTCAATTGTAGTTATGTTTGTAGTAGGCAAAAAATTCAAATGAGTTGGGTAAAATAATTAAATTCATCAGCTTTAGGGTTAAAATTATGCCAGAACACATATTGGATAGCTTTTCTACCTAAGACTATTAATGAGAGTTGAGGATGGGATTGAGAAGGCCTTATATGACTTGATTTATGGAAGCCCGATTATACATAGTATTGATGGCCGTGATATGTAAATGATCATTATTATTAAATAAATGTAGACATTTGTGCAAATCTTGATTAAAAATATTGTCTTGACTATGCCACACACTAGATTACAAGATGTTGCATTTGTCATTAATGACAATTGGTAAAACATTCAATGAAAAGTTGAAAATGATAAGAGTGTAAGTGAAATAAAAAAAAATTAAGTGGCATGCCAACAAATAAGATTATAGAAATAGAAGGGGAGATGTTTGTATAGTTTATATTGCAAATCAGTGATGGATAATCTCTTAAATAACTTTTATGATGCATCATCATCACCATCCTACAAATATTAGTTATGTCATGGAATGGATGATGAAGAATTGTTCCTTTCTACTTTCTTACTAGACATGAAAATAAGTTTAACATACTGAAATGGGTTCAAGGAAGGAGTATTGGTAAATGAATGGTTGAAATGCAGATAGTATTTATCAAAATTTTTTAGTCTACATGAACCCACTAAACAATATGATTAACTTTTTATTGATTATCCCAACTACTATTAATTGCTAGTTTGGATAAATATCGATCATATAAAAGGATGAAATTATACAACACAATTGAATGCATTAATGTAATTGATCAATGTTATTAGTAACAATAGCTTGACAAAACAAGGAACACGACTAGGATTGCATCGTATGACGTAATTTGTATAATTTAATGATTAACATATGTTTAATTATTAATTTTAAGTTTGATTTTTTGGCTATTTAATTTCTACAATATTATCTTGTATCATCATAAGGGCATTTCTTTAATAACACTAATATAATTTTATGAAAAATAAAATATGAATGAAATAAAAAGTGATAAATGACAAACATCTAAACATATAAAGGAAAAAAGGAAACAAAAATAGCGAAAAAAAGCACAAACTTGTGAAAAAAAATAATTTATTTGCATATGTCTATGACTCTTAATTATGTCCATACATTAAATCAGTCATGATTTAGAGGTTTTGTGCAACTATTTGTTAAAAATATTTTTTTATTTCTATAATTAAATTTGTATAGTTTTTGGATACATGATTTATATGGAAGTGATAACATATATCAACATGTTTTATTCTAGAATATTGGATATGATTTTTCATTATATAAATAATGCAAGTATTGTATTGGTATCTTTTTACTAATTTTTCAAATTTTAAAAACTATTACTGCAATCATAAGAATAAAGCAAAACAACTCTATGCTTCTTGTATTCAACTTTAGCAGTAGATATGCCAACCTTTAGATAGTGGCATGTCAACTTTAGGAGTATCAAATACTTAAAAAGGCAATTGAAATAAATAACATATTAAAAATACTTCATATTAATTTTTCCTCAAGCCTTTAAACATCTTAATTACTTCACTGACAACATTTGGCACTTATGCCTTCAAATTGTTTCACACACATAATCCAACCTTTATGGTCCCAAGAACCTCATATATATCATCAGACCCATATATATTAATAACTTGTATGTCAACTTTTATAGTGTTATATCAATAGCATTGCCTACTTTTATTTCTTGATGTTTTGGTGGTATTAGCGGTTGTCATGTGTTTATAAGTATATGAAAAAAAAAATCAAATAGAACTTAAGTAGTGTATGTCATATATTCGATATGATGTGACCCACTATGGTGTAAATGTTATGTTGTTTCAAGTAATGATAATAATAGTTTCAAGTAGAGCTATTTGTGCAAAAGTCACTTTAATAAATAAATTTTTTTTTTCTGCTTGATTAATTTTTTCCGTTAAATTTATTTTATTTATGACAATTGATCCATTTCCTTTTAATTTTATTTTAAACACTCAATAAGGAGGCATTGATTTGCTAAAACCATGCAAAGTAAATGAATTCAACATACAATAATTGATACAAAATATTTTGAATAATTAAGAGCTATTTAGCTGTCTATAAAATAAACACAATTTTTTACTTTGTTATATATATACTTTGGTAGTATATTATAAGTACTTGATTTTTTTTTTTATTGTTTGTAAAGTAAATGATGATGAATTGTTTTTTTCTATTTATATGGGTGTATGATATAAGTCTTATACATAAATAAAATGCAGTGATAACATTATGTCTTTAATATTTTAAGTAAAAGTGAATATTTGAACAGTATGAGTATTTAATATTTAAAAAACATCACAATAATATCAAAATTAATTAGTTCTATTTACCTATTAAATTATAATTTTATATGATTATATTTTGAAATAAATATAGCAATAATTTAGGTATAAACCTAGTATGGTCATAACTATTTTGTATGTTCAAAAAAACATGTGAATACATGAGTTTAAAATATCAATACAATCATCATGATTAGAATCTAAAATTTAACTATATATTACAATCCAAATAATTAATCTATCATTAAGTTATATAGCCAAAATCATTATTTTAACTCGTTAACATCCATCTAGCTTTTTATGCTTAAGTTTTTGAGGGAAAATATTAAACCAATGTTTGATTCTTTGCTAACTTATTATATTCCATATTAATCATTTTATGAGGAAAGCCATAATAATGGATAATTCTATCTTTAGTTCAATAAACTTTATTTTCTTCAAAAACTACAAATATGCGGTGGATTTTGTTCGTAACTTGAGCTATATTATCATTCATCATCATAATATATTGACGAAGTTTTCGGTCAACAATATGCAACTTTATTTATTTATTTATTTATTTTGTGGAATACATCTCTTAAAAAGATGATAGCGCTCTTGACTTTATCATGCCTATTAAATCTTTTTTAATATCCACTTTGGAACATACATTAGCTTGTGATACAAACAATCACTATAAAACTAGAGAATTTATTATAATTTAAATTAATTTATTAGAGCGAAGTTTAAAATTTTATAGATTTAGCTCACTTTCCACAAGCATATTATTTACCATATACATTCTATAAATCAATATAATTTCATGTAGTCCATCCAAAGCATTTTCCTCTTTATTCTTAGTAGTTAGTTTGAGATAGAAACTCATGCATCTTTTGAAGCACAACAAAACTTTCAAATCGATTGTTGCATTTTGTTGGTGGCTTTAGTGCAAGTGATTTTCTTGTCAACATCAAGATATTTCCTCTTAAAGCTGCTCAAATATGAAAGTATATGCAATTTGTTAGCATTCTTTATTTGATCTCATTTGACCAAGTTTTACCATAGCGCTAATTTTCTATTAAAAAACACACTCAACTTTTGAAATTTGTTGTGAGACCGTAACCAACATATTAAGTTGATGATTCTCTATTATCTAACTATCTTTCACTTGACCAATGTTTTGAATTTCTTATTGGCATCATGTCGTTCTCATCAACATAATATACCCTATGCCGACATATGCATCATAATCTATTTCTCCACCTAATTTTCATGCATAAAGTTTAAAGTTCTACATTCATCATGTATTTTGCTAATCACATATATATATTCATTAGAAACTAAGGCAAACAATCTACTTTCTTCGTCTACACTATTATCTTTCGCATAACAACCAACATATTGCGATTTAATTTTTATTTGTTTTAACTAAACTTCAAATTTAAACTAATAAAACCTATATCAAATTAGTTAAATTATGCATTTATGCAAACTCATTTAAATAAATATCAAATCAAATAGGTCGTTGATGATAAAATATTGCAATCTAAATATTTTGTTTTTTTTATTGTAGAAAAGCCATCTATAACTTCATTTATCTCAAATGAAGCCACGTGATAATCATTAAGGCCATTTGAAAGCTCCACAATTATCGTATAAAAATTATAACTAACAATATAAACCATTCAATTCATTTTTTATGATTAATTTTTTGCATGAAAATTAATATAAATTTTTTAGAAAGAGCAAAAAAAAGTTTATAATATATATATA